ATTATTTTTTTTTTTGGGGGGGGGGGCAGGGGCATCCGACAGCTTGGTCATTTCAGCCCCGAAGCACTAGCGATATACCGCTACACACTCGATACTCAATCACACCAATAAATACATTCATACCTACATACATTGATCGCACTCATACTGTTTATGTACTGTATGTACTCTAGTATGGTGTACTCTATATTCCTCCATCTACCTGTTCACTACAATAAACAACTCTAATTTGGTTTGGGGTCGATGGGGTACTTTAAAAGTTTTCTGCCGTAGACCCAATCACGCACGCAACATGAGGGGCGATGGAGGTACTTCGTCACCATCAGCCCCTCAATTTTTGTTTATTGTGTAAATAATTTAGTAAAATTTCTTGTTGTTCTCAATTAAAGAGAAATTAATTTTTTTCATCCCTGCAATCTAATTTGTACTTCATACCATCTTTACTGGAGATATAAGATATCATGGGTCAGAAAATTTATTTGTTGGCCAAATCGCAAACCAAATTACCTTCGGTAGACGTATGTAGGTATGTTTGTTAATACGTAAATTCATTCATAAAACAAAATAACTAATTCTTTTGTTAGAATGTGATATTTTCACATGCAATGTTTTATACACATTATGTCGAAAGTGGCCACGAGACATGCCCAGTGTGTGAAGATTGACGAGGTTTCGTGTGAAGGAGTGTTGTTACTGGGCAACTTCTCCTACAATCGACACATACGACAAATTCAGTATATATAGACAACGTTTACTTAATAAAATATTTGCAGTTGTAAATATCAAATCTAATAAAAAATACCGTACAGAATGATGTAAATTTGTACTAATGACATTTATTGCGACAGTATTAGATCATACTTCCGGCAATGCAAATAATTTCGGGCCGCGGCTATGATTGTAAAATTAATGCAAAAAAGCAGTAATTTATATAATTAAATTTGCTTCAAATGATCATCAGCTAATAATGAGCTGTATTGGATTTTACATATTTCATGATGGAAATTATCTTTTCGCCACGACTCCCAAAAACATTTGTAAATTCTGTTTTTACATTATTACCACGTTCTTTTTTTGAGTTAATTTTACATTGTCTCCATTTTTAGGATAACTGCAAGAAACGTTAAGGAAAAATATTATGATTGAAAAAAATAAATGTTTGTTTATTTATATAACTTTCCAAAAATCATAGTTCATGGATTTTCGCAATGAGGGGAAGCAAGGCGTTGTTTTCTTCGATTATCAGAATCAGGGCGACTCACTGCATATGTGGTGCTTATCTGAACAGAATTCGTATAAGACCCTCTCCAAATTGTTAAACATGCGATGAACCCGAGACAATGCAACAAATTGTGTTTGACTGTCCGGAGTATGAAGAAGCGAGAAATGTCATGTTTGAACAAATCTTTAGTTACAAAGAGGTAGAGAAGCCCTTCAATTTTAATAGCCTTGTGGGTTCTGAAAATGAAATGGTATTTAAGACGTTGTTTGAATTTTTGAATAAAAATGATGTGAAGGTTTAATCGCCAGATAATGAATCAATTGATTAATGCAATATCTGTCCAATTATTAATTTATTAAAGATTTACATTGTTATTTATGTAGTAGAATTTATATATTTATATTAGTAATTTATTAATTATATATTTACCGATTGATTATTTATTGACGATGTAAATACTGATTTATTTATTGACTAGTTATATAGAAATTTGTTCGCTGATACTGATACATTTGTATAGATTATTTATAATTATTTATTTGTCAATTGATTATTTATTACCGATGTAAATACTGATTTATTTATTTATTGATTATTTATATTGAAAGTTGTTTGCTGATATTGGTACATTTGTATAGATTATTAATAACTATTTATTTATCAGTTGGTTGATTGACAGGTGAGGAACCTAGGTCATTCTGGGGGTGCTGGGTCAGCTGTCTCGGGTTGTCTCCGGGGGGTACTCCACATGCAAAGGGCAATTGGTCCCCGGGAAGTGGGGAGGATGTGGACTTTTCCAGCGGCCTCTGTTGCCATTTACGGTTTTTATCCACATCCTCCTAATGCTACCGAAATTAGATGTAAACCTGAATGAGAAGCAAAAATCATCATAGTTATGAATATGCTTTCAACCTTCTTTTGATTAAATAACAAATTAACTCTATCATGTATCGAATGAACTGGTTGTTGATCCTATTTATGCAATCAGAGGCAACTAAATTTACTCTCAACTAAGAATAAAATTTTATCCAAGAAGCATCCTTCTAACTATAGCTGTTTCATTGAACTAACGAATGTCGCTGGCTCTGAACGTCATCAGTTCTAGCACATTATTTATTGACTTATTTTTTTTATCATTATTCCCATTGTGCGGCGCATTAGAAACCTTGCTAAACCTACCTCCATTTGAAATATTCATACAAGGAGAGGCTAGGAAAAGCTCATTTAGGCTCCAAAAACAATTAAATTGGAAAGGAACCAAACGATTCGGGCATACAACCATAATCAATAAAATCAGACACCCATTTTTAGAAATGGGGACTGATAACATGATCCCGGAAACAATCTTCACAACTTCCTATAAAGTCTCAACAGACTATAAAGGAGAGGAAGAACACAGGAAAGCACCAGATACAATGACATGGTATACGGATGGCTCCAAAACAAACGAAGGAACCGGATCAGGCGTTTTCTGTACAAGCCCAAAATATGAGCAATCAAACTCATTAGGGAAGTATACTTCGGTCTTTCAAGCAGAAATACATGCCATCAATGCTTGTGTCCTGGAAAATCTCAAAAGAGGTTACACTGACAAAAAAATCCTCATAAGATCAGACAGTCAAGCAGCTATTAAAGCACTGGCATGTAAAAGAATTACATCAAAACTAGTCAGTGAATGTATCCAAAATCTCCAAAACCTGGGAGAACACAACAACCTGATGATATCTTGGGTGCCAGGGCACAGGGGAATTCTGGGTAACGAAGAGGCGGACAAACTGGCCAGAAGAGGATCTGCAAGACCATACATAGGCCCCGAACCTATCCTTGGGATAACAAAAACAAACATAGATTCCTCCATCGCAGAATGGATCCAAACAAAACAAAGAGAGAAGTGGATAAACTCTAGCGGTGCTAGACATAGTAAACTTATGCTGAAACAACCCTCACCAAAATTGGCAAAAACACTGCTGCAATTGGAGAGGGCAAAACTCAGAGGAGTGGTGGGACTACTAACCGGTCACTGGTATCTGAGAAAACATCTACACAACATGGGTATATACAGCGATGACCCCATTTGCAGATTATGTAATGAGGAGGAGGAAACAGCCACTCATATCATCTTCGAATGCGAAGCAACAGCTCAATGGAGGTTTAACCTAGCGTACGAAAAAGACACAGGGAACCAAATTGCAGCAATAACAGTCAATGACTTGATGCTTCTGAGAAGAAGGATTGAGTCTATTGACTAAACTAGGGAACTGGGAAGGTACAATAAGCCAGAAGGCTGCAGTGCCCGGGGAGTGCAAACCCCGCTTCCTAGTATCCTTTTCTACCATACCATACCATACCCATTGTGCGGTCAATAAGTAGTGACGGTCTCCCTTTTAGATTTTATATGTCATGTAATCTGGGTGAATTTTCAAATAAACTGTAATATATGTTTTGTAGTAATCTGGACTGCAGGTATTGGTAAATTTACTTGTAAGTTAATATTTTTTGAAAGTTAAACCGGTATAATTTAGTAAAACTATCTAATATACTACATCAAACATAATACTAAAAAGATCTAGCTTACAAAATATCGATGAATATGTGCACATCGGTGTATGTGATGTTTATATGATAGAAAATTTAAAAATTGCAAGGTGATAAAAACTATCAATAATCAATAAAAACTATCAATCAAAATAAGGATTTTTGGTAGATTTTCAAAATATTATATAAAAATGATGTTTCTTGTCGTAAAAATTCTTCTATTTTGCAAAATTAAAGTAATGAGGCAAAGAAAAACACAAGGAAAAGCAAAAACATCATTTTTTTCTATGCATAAGCAAATTGGATTTAAAGCTACCATAGTTCAACAAGGTGGCGACTTGGTTTTATAATTTAAGAGTATTGAAGTTCTTAAATTTGAAAGGTTTGCCAAAACGTTAAGTACAGCAGATGGCTGAGGGAGTCAAATCAAGACATTCCTTCATCATCAAGGGCAATTTTTTCCAGGTAAATACATTATGAAGCCGCTGGTCGAATTGATAACAGTTGGTGGGCCGTAGACTGCCAATCCATGTATCAGACAATATAACTGTACCGATAGAAAACTCAGATACAAGTACAATTTTAATTATTCTAAACAAAGCATAGTTAAACACTTTCCAATTAACGCGATAAAATACATTCCAATCAACCCGATTTAGGACATAAGCTACACGGGTAAAGAACGATTCCCAAGCCACAATCAATAACCTTGTAAAGAGAAGAGAATATATTGTCCCTTTAATATATTCCCCAATGTGCGTCTAATAAATTTATATAAGCAACAAACAGGAAGTTCTGATTCAAATTAGCCAACAGTGCAGGCTTGCGCTGAGGGAAAATAGACCACCAATGAAACTCAATTAAAACTTCGAACATTTTCTCGTTAATAGAGACTGCGTGGATATCCTTAATGGGCATCGGAACTTCTTCTAGTTGACCATGTTGCACAGCCAAAAACTGATTTTCTCGACAATCTTCAAAAAAGAAAAAAACGAAAAAAAAATCCCTATTGGTTGGTTGCTCACGGAAATAACATAGTTGTGAAACATGTTGTGGTCTGGTGGAGTGATGAACTTGCAAACTACAGAGCATAATGCCAGTGTTTGCCGAAACGAAGTTCATTATTACGAAAACAATTCTATGGCTGTATAGAACGCATTAAAAACAAAGGTTTATAGAATAACTTACGAACTTTTTGTTTGTTTTAATGACACAACCAAGTGAAAAATAGTCGCGTACTTACATTCATCGTGATCCTTGGCGGTGACGGTGAGGACGGTGTGTTGTATATCTTCATTTTCGTCCACTTCCGCTTCGTAGAGCGCCTTATCGAAATAAGGTGGGTTGTCATTCTTGTCAGCGATACCGATCCGAATGAACTTGGTGACTGTAACAGTTAAAAAAATTCCATGTTAAAAACAAGAAATCAATTTTTCATTATAAAAATGTAAAAGTAAAAAATGAACTGCTAAATTTTCAATGGTAAATTGGTTATAATCTAGTATGCATTAAGAATTACATAGGTATATAATAATATAACAAAATAAAAGGGTTGATTACGTGTTTATTTTTTAAATAGGGTCATTTTAAGGCACTATCACGTTATCCTCAGTTTTGGTCTGTTACATACGACCATTTTTTTTTATCGAGTCTGTGAACTACAGGCTGTATGTAGACAGCAATCAAATTACAAGTTCATCATACCGCAGTCTCAAAGAGGAAATCATCCAATTCAGAATGTTTTTATTTTTGGCGTTTTTGATCATCTTGGCCTAGCTGTTCAGTCTTTTTGATAAGTCATAAACGTTTCTGGTCATTTTAATTCGTTGGGTCTGTGAACTACAGGCTGTATGTGTAGACTGCAATCAAACTTGGAGTTCATCATACCGTAGTCTCAAACAGGAAATCATCCAATTCTGAATATTTTTATTGTTGTCGTTTCCGATAATTTTGGCCTGGTTATCCACTATATTTTAATCAGCCAGAGGCGTTTCTGGCCATTTTAATTCGTTGGGTCTGTAAACTAAAGGCTATGTAAACTGTAATCAAACTACGAGTTCATCATCCCGCAGACGTACAAAGGAAATCCCACAAGTCAGATTTTTTTGGTTTAGTCGTTTCTGATCAGTTTATCCTTGTTTTCCTCGCTTCTCTGGCCATTATTATTGCCCATGGATAAACTACATGCTATAAGTAAACTGTAACCGAATATGAGTTCATTTCCATGCAAACTCGAAAAGGCGACCTAACTATTTATAACATTTTTAGTTTCGTCGTTTCTGATCATTTTGGCATGATTTTCTTGCTGTGTTGGTTTGTCAGACGCCATTTGGCATCGGTCAGGTTTGCAAACTACAAACTGTAAATAATCTGTACCCAAAACAAAAGGTTCATCACACTTCAGACTCAAAGAGGAAATCTAACATTTTAAAAGATTTTTAGTTTGCGCCTTCAATCATCAATTTAGTTATCCTCGCTGTTTTGGTTCGATGGAAGCGTATCTGACTATTTTCTTTAGTATATTATCAGTTTTAGATCCAAGCTGGCTAGGTAACATTGTGAAGTAGAAAAATGATTCTCATGTTCTATAAGCTAGGATTAAGATAGATATGGCTGTATTGCAGTATAATTATAATATAAATACGGTCCTCATTGTCCATATCCAAACGAATTAAAAAAAAGGACATTCCTTTCATATTCTCCTATGTTCCTTCTAATTTTTAAACTACATGATTTAATTTATAAATAAAATAATCCAAATATTTATATAACAGATCAACTGGTCCTCGAAAGTTTAAGGTAAGAAATATACATTAGTTTTCGCTGGGTATAATTTAAAATTTCCGACGTGAGAGGAAACCCGTGTTGCCAGGGCGGTATGATTTTAAAAAGATTTCAGCTCCAGACTGAAAACCCGGACAAAAGGAAGTCTAGTTTACCCTTGTCACGACAACGTCACCTCTCTCAGAACTTCTCTTTTAACCCAATAAGAATAAAAACGAAAACAACTAGGAAAAAGTACGAAAAACACAGAGCTCAATCTAGTATCAACGGCCATCGCAATATTTAATAAACAACGGTCCGTACCTTTGCCAACGAAAATTAAACAGTTACGTGTCCACGGGCGAAACAGGCCATACATTTCGACGCCAAATTAAGCGAATAAATTGACGAGAAAGTTAATAACACAGGCTTTCACAAAAAAACGCTATTGTTGACCAAGGGAAAAACATTTCTAAGTGAATGTATAAAACGATGCCCCAACCATTTCATTACATTTTTATTATTTTTTTAATGAAAAAGCACATTCTACCCACTTTCACTCCAAAATTTTAATTTTGTTTTAAATTAATTTTTTATTTGTACCCTACAATAATTACAAGTGTGATTACAAAACGAAACCAGCCGATGCTGGCACTCGGTGTGAAGGATTAAGGAGCAAGGAAGTTTCTAGTAATAAGAGCTTTGCAATTTGTCTGAGAACGTTTGAATGGAAGGACTGGATGCGCTGGATGTTGAATGTGTTGAATGGCACAGCAGAACCCCACAGTTCCACTCCCTATGTCGAAAGAATCGCAGTAAAGGATTTTAAAATATTTGCAAATGACTGTAAAATAATCCTAATATCACAATATTTATTTTACAGGTAAACAAGGTTCTGCGAATATATATTTAATGTTTTTTTGAGACTAGGTCGATGGGTCGAAAATTCCAGGGGGTGAGCGTAAAAATCGAATCGACGACGACTACGAGCAGATAGCTAACCGGTTTTATTTTAGTTCTTCGTAATATGAAAATGTTTTTATGTAAAATGAGATTGTAAAAACGCGAAATTCTGTGTACAAAAATACAATTTTTTAAGGAAAACTTCACTTAAAAGTTTAACAGACGTTCTCCTAATGGACGTTAATGCCACATTATCTTTACATTTTTAACTTACTGTTCACTTGTAAATAATAATAAAATAAATCATTCATTACTATAAGTAGTTATTGACTGTTGTATTGATGATGTTTTGTGATTTACTTTATTCGCTTTGTTTATCATTCATCGCCCTTCTACAAAACAAAAAAGTGATCGTCAGTTCAAATGGCATTTTATTGCTTATTTGAGTACGAAGATTTTTATTTACTTGAATATCAGCTATCACTTGACTCGACATATTATAAAGATCTGAAGATGTTAATTTCACATCCTCCTTTTCATTCAGCTTCCGAGGTATTGTGGATTACTATATAAAAAAAATTGTCATCTCCCGGTTTGGTCTGGACGCGCGTACGTAAATATAGAATTCCAGTTTAATAAGTTATATTCACTCAAGATTGAGATTATTTTTTAACATTTGACGTTACTGAACATTTTCGGGCAAACTTAAAAACAAAAATCCGACAAAAGAGGCCCCAAATTCCCGGGAGACGACCAATCAACATAAAACTATAATCTCCAAAATTTGTAAACGGCTTCACCCTGAAAGGTATTAATTATTATTTTATTATGATAAAGTTAAACAGTAAATAACTCACGTTTCTGATTGTAAAAACTCATTTTTTACCGTGCAGAAAGGCGTTTATTGTTTGAACAACATAACAATAAAGAATACGATACTTTTAAGTCGAGAACGCCCGGGCTTAAATTCGGCCGGGAGAAGTACCGCTTCGCACCCAGAGCACGTAACCCAGTAACAAATGAACCCATATCTGTGGGAAAGGGATTGAGATTTCGCCAATCTTTCCACTTCTGGCTTTCACGGCCGATTCCGGCTCCCCCGCAGCTTTTCACTGGGATAGTGATCACCGGTTATCATTTTATTAAGGGCTTTCCCCTGGGAGTTGCCCCTTTTCCGAATTGCCCATTCGAGCAGAATCCGGTTCAAATGTGTTTTTACGAATCCGAAGACGAATTTTTAAGGCTTGACCGTCCAATTAGAACGATTTAGGAACTGAGATAGCAAGGGACGCCGAATTTCACGATTAGTGGATTTTCTTACGAAACCTGACTATTATATTTAATGTCCAAAAAGATTAACACGCTCTAAAATGTAACGAAACACTGATCTGAACAAAATATTTCAGAGAATATACTCAATTGAGGCCAATCAAATATGAGATAATTAATGTAAATACACTCAAATAATAACAAGAAAAACCCATCAGACAATGAACTTTAAGTACATCAGTTTACAAGTTGTCTGCGAATTGAAGGCCGTGAAATATCAGGAAATTGATAAATCTGATAAAATCTATAAGAGGACAAATTGCTCGTGGTTCCTAAAGCGGCAGCGTACAGACGATCTCTGTAAAGCATCGAAGACGTAACGAAAAAGCAGACTGGCACACGGGCCAAAGGAGGAACTGCAAGAACATGTATATGCCCTGAACATATTGGAATAGAAAAAACAAACACATTATAGAATCGTTTAAAAAAAATACAAAAAGAAAAATAGATTAACTATAAGGGCGCTAAACATGCAATAGTAAACTATGCTAAAACAACCCTGACCAAGATTGGCCAACTCACAGCTACGGTTAGGGTGGGTTAAACTCACAACCAGAGGAATGATAGGACGATTTACCGGTAACTGGCATCTGAGAAAACATCTCCACAACATGGGTATATTCAATGATGATCCCGTCTGTAGATTATACAAAGTGAAGGAAGAAACAGCCACCCATATCAACTTCGAATTTGAAGTAACCGTTCAATGGAGACGTAACCTGGGATACAAAGAAAACCCAAGGAAAGGAATTTATAAGTTACAGTTAATGACCCAGTACTCCTTAAATGAAGGATGGAATCTACAGACCGAACTAAGGAATTAGGAAAGTTTAATAAGTCAGAAAGCTACTATGCTTGAGGATCATAAACCGTACTTCATAGCATCCTTTTATAATAATCATCATTATCATTAACACCAGAAGTCTGGTTTGATTTGATTCAGTTTCAAAGTAATATGCTGCCAGGCTCAATTTATTTGATCAAATCTGCAGATAATCATACCGATTACAAGTTTCATCTAATTCCACAAACAATGAGGTTTAGCAGAGGCAACCTTGGAGTATTTATTATAAACATGATTCTACTTGAAGAAGTACTATATTTGGTGAAAATATTACATTGGCTTAAAGCAAAAGGGCAAATATTCAAAATATTCCAGCTCACATAGGTAACCGGGATCTTGTCCATTTTAGGAATTTATTTGCAGATGAGAATTTAATAAATTAAATAAAAATCCTCCATTATTCCATTAATAAGTTCAATGGCATACAAATCCAATAATGAAAACATTATTCCAAAGCAAACAGAAATTAAGGGAACACGAATGAAATTTTTATCGTAATGTGTTTTCAACAAGTTTATTGATCGTATATATTCAGCATATAGGGTACA